GCAAAGCTACATAAAGAAACCCTGTCTCGAAAAACCAAAAAAAAAAAAAAAGTTTTTTTTAAAAAAGCCAAAAAACCAAAAATCAAACCAAACCAAACCAAACCAACAAACAAAAACAACTAAACTATGTGGGAAACATCTTGTAAAACAATGACTGAAAACAAACAAAGAAGCCAACAAATAAAAGGACTACAGAAGCCATCTCTACTAGAGGAAGAGCTTACACACTTACACGAGGGGCTTTTAGAAATCGTAGCCAGGGCCAGCAAGAGGGCAAGCTGTTGGCTGCCTGATGACCTGAGTACAAGCACTAGAACCCACAAAGTGAAGGGAGGAAACTTATACCTGCAAGTTTTCTTCTGACTTCTACACAGGTACTGTGGCCTGTGAGTGCATACACACACACACACACACACACACACACACACACAGGCACGCCGACACACATGAAGGCAAGCTGACACTTGCACACACACTTACGCGTGCGTGCTCACACGAAAACCCATCTTCAACCACAGCAATGATTGAGCACCACACTAACTGAACTCAAACTACTCTCACAGTATTTATATATCTCTCTTCCTTATTTCTCAAAAGCCTTTATATTTAGATATTTAAAAAAAAATCGTCTAAGCTAATCTAGGTAGTGGTGGCCCACAAGGCTTTAATCCCAGCACTCAGGAGGCAGAGTCAGATCTCTGTGAGTTCAAGGCTAGCCTGTTCTAACAAGTGAGCTCCAGGACAGCCAAGGTCACACAGAGAAATCCTGTTTCAGAAAATAAAATAAAATAAAAATTGTCTAAGCTATTTGCAATTTTCCTTGGTGTGTTTCCTAAATGATAAAAATAATGCAGGGCTTGATGGGCTGGCTCAGTGGTTAAAGGTGCTTGCTGCACAAACTGATGACCTGAGTTCAATTCCCATAGGCTACCTAAAAGTGAAGAGAGAGCTGACTTCACAGCTTCACAGTTGTCCTCTGACTGCCACACATACACTGTACCATTTGTATCCCCCCCCTGTCATACCTAGCCTCACACCCATTTTATAAATAACAAATAAAAACATACACAGGGGCTGGAGAGATAGCTGAGAGGTTAAGAGCACTGCTTGTTCTTCCAAAGGTCCTGAGTTCAATTCCCAGCAACCACATGGTGGCTCACAACCATCTGTAGTGAGATCTGGTGCCCTCTTCTGG